TAAAATATTAATTTTAGAAAAATCTTTTTTAAATTAAACTTATTGGACATTTAGGGTTTGCATAATGATCACATTCATCAGAGGGAATTTGTACCTGTATATGATGTATCTTAAAAAAAAATTATTTGGTACAGGGTCTCACTACACAGTTCAGACTTGTAGTAATCCTCCTGTCTCAGCCTCCCCAGTGCTAAGATTACTGGTATGCACCACCACACCCAGTCTTGGTAGCTGGCATGACATGTGGTACTGGGGATCGAACCTGGGTCCTTGTGCTTACCAGACAGGCACTTAGACCGCCAAGCTATCATCTCCCCAGCTCCTACATGATATATATTGATTCTTCTTTTTTCCCTAACTCTCTCCCCTTCCTTCATGCCCTCTTCTCCTCCTCATTTACAAAACTTTGTTTCCATTTTTCTTCTACTTTTTTTCTTTTCCTTTTCTTCCTTCCTCCCCACCTTGCCTTATCTCCCTTCCCATTTGAACATTTTCTTTCCCCTTCCTAAAGCTATTATATGTTTTGGTCCTTATTTACCGTTTCATGTTCTCACAACAGATAAACAATGCAATATTTAAACACATATCCAATTTATTTCACTTCAGAGTATGGTCTTGGCTAGGCATGGTAGCATACAGCCGCCACCTTAGCACTTGGGAAGCCGAAGCAGAAGGATTGCTGTGAGTTCAAGGCCAGCCTGAACCACACAGTGAGATCCTGTCTCAAAAAAAACCCAAAAATAAATTAAATAAAAAGAGTACAGTCTCAATGTGTATCCATTTATCTAGAAACGCCTGATGTTTATTCTTCTTTATAGCAGAGTTAGAAAATAATTCTTATGAAAGTATTTTGAAGGCATGTCTAAGAAGTAGCTATGACCTTTATGTTGAAGATTAGCGTGATTTTTTTTTTTACCTCCACTTTTATAGACAGAAAACAAGTTACACCACTTCGTACTGGAACTTAAATATTCCCTTATGATTAAGGATGATTAGACACATGCGAGTCTCAACTGTAGCACAGATATGATACGATGTTATCTCCTTAGGAAACAGAGTTTTAATTAGAATCTTACTGGATTAGATAGATAGGCCAATCAGTAATGGCCTACTCAAGTAGTAACAGAATTAAACAGAAGATAAATTAGATGCTATTCTATTCCTTTACTGTGAAAACAAGATAGTTATTTTCAGCTATCTCCAGTGAGATACCATAACAATTGACACCCACAGGAAGTGTAGTGTTTTATTACTACTGAAAAAGGTTCATTCAGTTGTTTGAGCTCAATATTTAAACTTGACATACTGGTACTAAGTTAGAATACCCACAAAATTTCAGAAATTCAATGCAATTAATGGGATAATTAAAAAAAATACTCTACTTTCCACCATTCAAGGAAATATTTTTAATTGAAGCTACACCAAGAGGAGCCAGGAAGATAGCTCAGTGGCTTAAGTGCCTGCCTGGCAAAGGCAAGGTCCTGAGTTCAATCTTCAGTACCAATAAGAAAAAAAGGGGAAACTGAACCAAGATATTTTTTTTTCACCTGTCTTATTGACAAGGATACAAATACAACATTCTGTTGGTAAGGTTGTAGAGGGAAAATGAATATTTTTATAAAAATATAAATTTTTGTAAGTTATCTATCAAAAATGTCCTATGATACACTGTTTCAATTTCTGGGAATTTATTCTATGGATACAAGTACACGTATGCAAAATATGTCTAATTTTATTACAGAATTGTCTATAATAACAAAATACTAGCAACAAATGAAGCATAGAAAAACCAAAGTATAGATATATAATAGAATATTAATATGCAGGCAGAAAACATGTATTAGGAGACTTTTACAAAATGTTACCACAGGACTATTCTTGAAAAGAAAATTAAAAAAACAAAAAAACAGAAGGACTGAAGATGTAGCTCAGCAGCACTGTGCCTGCCTGGCAAGCGCGAGGTCTTGAGTTCAATTCCTATCGCCTCTCCACCAAAAAAAAGTATAAGATGTTACATATATAAAATTTAGTGGAAAAAGATAGGACAAGTCTTTCATGTGTATGCAAAATATATTTGGAATTATAAACAATTACTAACATAGTGAAGGAATCGGGATTTCTGGCAGATACAGAAAAAAGGGAAGTTTTTCTTCTGGAAAACATTTTGTACTTTTTGGATTTATGGACTGTACCAATCTATTACCTGTCTTAAGAACTAAAATAAAATCCCCAAAGAGAAAATTATGTATCTCTTAAA